CTTATCACTCTCGTAAATTAAAGCATTGAAATTCCTCATGGAATTTTTAACCAATACTTTGTTTGCTTTTATGCCGCTTTCATTTCCTTTCTGTCGTGTAGCTTTGCAATATGAATATTATTTTTAATCAGGTAATGCAAACATGCAATGTTTGTAAAGAATTCCGATTTTATGTCAAATGAAAATAAATTCTTTTTCAGAAATCATTAACTGTAACAGGCTATATCAAAAATAATCTATTAAAGTCTTTGATAAATGTAGATTGCATTCAATTATTACTAGCACAAAAACGAACCACGATTGTTCAATCGAAATAGAATTAAACTGGAATGCCAAACTAGCTACCAGGAGATAAAAATTGATTCAAAATTGCAAGCTTTCGTACACTCAGATTTACCTTAATACTCTACTTTTGTCCAGTCAAAGGTAAAAACCAAGTAAAAAGCCTAAACTGGGGAGGAGAGAAGCGATCTTGCCGATTCCGATTTGATTCACGTACTCATCTACTGCAATTTAGTGATCACAGTAGTGCGCTGAAATGGTTGCACTGTGCTCGTTATAAAGTAAGTTCTTTCGGAGCGACCGATCAAACGAGTGTGGTTTTGGATTTCCGAATTGGATTCAGGCAAGATAAAAAAGTATTTTGGAATATGGGTGGCCATATCACGACAAAGTTTTCCTGTTTGCAAACCACGGGCCGGAGTTCACCCGCACTTGACCAAACCCTAATACACACCGTCACGAAAAAAGACTATTACTTTCCTCCGGTTGGCTTGATTGCCGTTCATTAAGCACGCGCCTTTGTTTCTTCTACAAATTGAAGCTAATTGTTATAAATAGATTGGACCGAGGTCGACTTTCTTTAAAGAATTTAAGTCTTGGCTTATGTTTTTACTCCACCTTCTTAGGGGTAGAAGGTAATTAATACGACTTCATCGAGGCCGAACTGGGTTAGAAACGTCTATCGACGAAGTAGCTACAAAAACGTATCGTAGCGTTTTTGCTCCTTAATGCTGCTTTAAAATACAGGCTATCGTAGCAGTTTTTGTGTCCGTAGATCCGACAGAGCCTTTGGCAGACCGAATAAATTAAAGGCGTCCCTTGGTTGTGCCTGATAGATGGCGCTGTAACTGACTAATCCACGCGGTCGGACCCATGAATATTAACTTTAGCACTTCGCTTTTGATCGAAATTAATTGTATCTCAAGAATTGCCACAATATTAGGAAAGTTGAATGTACCTGAACTTACTAGTGCGTTCAAAGACCACTTCCGTTTTACTGATAACACAACGAAAAATAATTTTTCATTCACCTATCGATAAAGGAAAAACTACTGTTAAGCTAAGCTTAAAAAATATTTACAACGCTTTTAAAATAATCCGGTATGTATTATGTATACTTCATTTTGTCACTTTTTGATATGCGAACTACCTATCTATACCTTCAAAATATCTTGGTAAAATATGTTGATCCGCTTAGGTTGTAATGCGTGATTTCCTCGCATGAAAAATATCTGCCTCGCGTGTTCGTGATATCGGCTCAACGCTTTATCATATTATTTGTGTGTTCCTCTATACATACCTAGTATTAACCAGTTTATCTATCTGTCTACAAGCTTATTCTGGCGGCAACAGTTGTTTACAAGAAAGTGTAACTCTGTTGTGCTGATAATAAATTATAAGTAGTCCTTTTTTTTCACTGAAGACTTGATAACGATCTAAATACTTTAGTCATCTAGCCAGTCTAATTAGCTACTTGAGACAATCTAATAAAAGAAAATTAAAAATTTGCGCGCATTGTGAAATCATTTCATTGAAGGCAGTCCTTTACGAAAATATTGTACCTCTTTAGGTTGTATTCCTGAATTGTGCCGGCTTTCGGCCGCATGTAAAAGAGTCATAAAAGCTGAAAGCTAAAAGCAACCATTTCAATATTTACGAGTCACACGATTGATTTAACTTGGTAAAAAATAAACCAACTGTCGACAGCGTGTTAAAGCGTACGTGAAACGAGCAACTCTCGTGTTTGTGAAATTTGTCTTTCATCAAACAAAATCTGCATAGCAAAAAGTTCTACGCATTCCGGGTTAAGTAAACTGATTGCTCTTGGAAGCTCTGATTTCGGTGTTGAACAACACATTGAGTTCGATTATGCTGATTATGTATGTAAACAGAAGTTGAGTCGGCATCTCGCCGGGGGCTGTTGGGAAGTGGCGACCAAGTCAAAGCAGTTACGCGCCGCCGCGTCGCCGCGGGCGGCGGGCGGCTCTTGTGCCGGCTTTTAGTTTGGAGCAAAGAATACGATTAAAGCAACTCTGAGAACAAGTGTAGGTTGTGGAGTCGGAAAAAGTTATATTTACATTGCATGAACGTAAACTTTTAATAGTTCATGACTCTTTTTGTGTTTTCGTACTTGTAAGCGCGCAAACTTTTTTCCGGAACTAGATTTTCTAGCCTCTCTGTATGCCAAGGCCGTCTTTTTACTCTGAGCGTCAAACACAAACCAAAAACGCTATTCATTCCCAGACCGCTTGACCATTTATCAATTCACTGACTTCTAATTCAATGCTATACAGTTCGCGTTGCGATTGGTGGCCGATAGGATTTTTTCCAAAAACGAAACTTAATTGAAACTGGACGCTGAAGGATTGGCGCAAAGAAATGCCTTTCATGACACGAGCGATTGTTAAATACCTTTCCCTTTTAAAAAAGGTTTGCGATAAAACATGTTTTAAGCCTCAATGTGTTCGGGATTGAACTTTTATGTTGTGGGATTATTGCAAAACTCTGAAACCGAATAAAGAAAAATTCAAGCGGAAGATTACAAAAATTACTGTTGTTTCAGCTTTTGTTTTATTTTGTTCATCCGATAATGTCAACAAACTCTTAATTATAACAGGAAAAAATAAAAGAAGGAGCTTCAAAAACAGAGTAAATAAGTCCGTTGTCAACATTTTTAACTAAAGCTAATTCTTTGATTTCCTTGTTTAGATGTCGCGCGACGAGGGTGAGGCGACCGTCCGGGTGTCATTGCCTGAAGGCACGACGGCGACGGTGAATGTTCGAGATGGAATGACTGTGGAAGAGTTTTTGGCTGCCGCGTGCGCGCGACGCTCGCTGAACCCGCTGGAACACTTCGTGCGCGTGAAGAAGCGCCGCGACATGGAGGACCACAACTACTTCGTCCCGCACCGCAGCGACCTCATCGAGACCTACGTGAGTATCTGACTGTGAAGGTTCCTCTAGCTCAACCCGCTGGAACACTTCGTGCGCGTGAAGAAGCGGCGCGACATGGAGGACCACAACTACTTCGTCCCGCACCGCAGCGACCTCATCGAGACCTACGTGAGTATCTGACTGTGAAGGTTCCTCTAGCTCAACCCGCTGGAACACTTCGTGCGCGTCAAGAAGCGGCGCGACATGGAGGACCACAACTACTTCGTCCCGCACCGCAGCGACCTCATCGAGACCTACGTGAGTATCTGACTGTGAAGGTTCCTCTAACTCCTCAACCCGCTGGAACACTTCGTGCGCGTCAAGAAGCGCCGCGACATGGAGGACCACAACTACTTCGTCTCGCACCGCAGCGACCTCATCGAGACTCTCGTACCTATTTGCCTTCCAAATCACCCAAAGATTTGTGCGAATAAAAGATTATAAATTAGCTTGCTAGCCTAGAAAATACCTTCTCACTATTGCCTTTAAAAATACTTCAGCATCATCATAACAGCCACAATAAAGTCTACTGCTAAAAATACTTCAATAACACAAATTCGAAACCCAAAACTGTTAGGTATAAAACTTCTACCAATATTTTGTCGGTTACGTAGGCTAAGTTATCTATCACACGACACGTTTTGCGTCACTTATCTGTAATATACACGCATGTAAACAATATTTGAACATTTGTAAACAAGGGAAAAAGCTGAGCGGGAAAATATTTGCTTCCTCGATATCCTCTCTAAAATAGTTTAACTTTTAGTAACAAAGATCAACAGTTTACATTATAAATTATCAGGGATTTCACGTTATCGGATATTTGAATCGGATTTACTTCGATTAACTTTATTAAAACAATAACATCAACTTGTACAAGTTTTTGTTGATTGGTATTTTATATTTAAATAATGGAGGTTGGGCGAAACACATATCATCTCCTTATCGAAACTATTATTAAAAAATAAATTGATCGTTCAAAAATCTGATTTCGACTTGCGTAGCGACAAATACGTAGCAAGCGTGTAGCGTTAGGCTACGAGATTGTAGCATTTTCTACGCTGCTGTAGAATCTCTTATTTAGTATATCATGTGAGCTTTACAAAAACAAAAAATATACAATACATGAATGAAAGCCTGATGATGATGTAACATACAGAACTCGTTCAATAAATAGAGAAAAGTAGTATATTTACTCCACTATCACTTATTGGAATGTTTACTATTGCTGTTGACGATGTTGTTTGAATTCAATTACTTGCTCGGCAAAAGTGAAGTACTTACCTACTCATTAGGTACGAGTCATTAAGGTACTGTATTTGTTTAAAAACCGAGACATTAATTAAGTTAATTATGTTTCCTCCCTCGTCCTCCGTCAGACCCGACAGTACGATTTAAAAAAAAAACTCTGTAAATTTGCATTTTCATGAGAAAGGGAAGTGAAGCGTTGCGTTTCTTGATAGCAGTCCAGATACGCGTGACAACGCACGAAACGTGCGCTTGTTTAATTAAATTGTGCGGACACGCTAAGAGAATATCAAAACGTATAAAAGAGTGTTTTACTAACGAAATTCGCGTGAGTAGGGTGTGACGTGACAGCACTACGAGTACAATCCGACACTGATTTTAGCATAATGTTTACCGCGATGCTTATACCTAGAAAAATAAATATGATTCCAGCTAAAGGTAGAAAATACGTCATGGTAGAAATTCAGAATGTATTGGAAATTTAATGTACTCATAGTGCTATCTCATAAATGAAAAGAAGAAACTGAAAATGTATTAGCGTCGGCCGGGGCTTGAACCCGGAACTATGGGACACCATCCCACTGCTCTGCCAACTGAACTACTGACGCCTAGCCGACTAACAAGACATTTTTAACTCTCGATGCTCGTCTCGATGACTTTTGATATAAGCAATAGCTTCATCATTTACCTTGTTGGAATTCCTACCGTAATGTTGAATTAAGTTGTAAAACAACTATTACTAGATATCGCTAAAATCGTCGTTTCGATAAAAATTTCAGAATGCTCACAACACATTTTATTGGAGCTCTATCGTCAAAACCCCAGCAGTTTACTACTGGATGTGAGCCTCCGCACAATGGATGATTATCTTATCACACTCACCACGCTTGGCTGATTGTTAACCACCGTGCAAGGTGTTGCATTTACACTATTTACATTTCCTCGATTTACCCCTTCGTCGCACTTTACGATAACTGCCACAAAAACTTTGTGATACTATTCTAAACTGGAAGACAGCGGGTGAGGCTTTTGCCAAGTAGTAGGATCTGATAGGCTTACTATAATAATAGGCCCCACACATGCCTCCAAGGACTGGGTCCCTATGGGCCCATGATTCAGAAACGTAGCAACATAGTATAATATTAATAAAATACTAAACCAGAACCACATGGAACATATCTCAAAGTTCTATAAACTTACGTAACTCATGAAGTACGAATAGGTACTAAATTTTAATAAGGCCCGTTTGGAGCTACGCCAGAGTTTCGTATTGTGAACCAATTTAAATAATCGCTGAATGGTGTAAGGAGTCCCAATGTTTTGCATGCACAGAACGCCGGATTAACGTTGATTGGGGTCAGACAGGACTGGCTTAGGTACAAGCAGTCGAGAATATTTTTAACATCGACCCTTCTTAAGCGTAAAAAACGTTTTACGAGAAAATGAACGACTATTTTGAAATTGAAATACGTAGGGACAGATACCAAATACACAGGCGCGGGCACAATTTCAAAGCTGTGAGAATTGTATATTATGTGGAATAGGTATAGTATTTAGTATCTAGCAATTCAGAAGCTAAGTCAAATTGAATACGAATAAGGCCGGTGATGCAAATTGACTAGTGGCGAAGGCCGGTCGGTAGCTACGTTCAAATCCCAGCATAAATTCTCTAACAGCTTAGAGCGTAGATTTGTGTAGAAAGAGTCCAACCAACCTAGCAAAGCCATGTTATTCTATTAGCCAAACTAGTCTTTGAGTTTAGTTTTAACTGTTGTTATGTTAAAACTATGGCCGTCTTCGATTGATTATTTAGATCTTTGTCTTTACATAAGAAGCCAGCTGGTTACCTAGTAGGTGGCTTATAAAACCTCAGAGACTAGGGTTTACCGGGTCCGCATGTCCCAAACGAAACGTTTCTATAACAAAAACAAGGAGACAAACGGTTCTATGTTGGGTTTTACGTCATTACGGTTTCCTCTTCTTACCTAATAATTCTCTCTGAGTATTAGAGCGTGCGTCGTGCGTCAAGCTCGCAAACCCACCTTATCTTCCGTGTAATCATGACTATATCTCGCATCCACATTTCACTCCGCTGTCGCCAGCTCCCATCTTTATCCCATCTACTGTCAAAATTGGTGTACCGCAAGGATCAATTTTAGGACCGTTCCTATTTTTAGTGTACATAAACGACTTGCCCTTCATGGTACAGAATCAAGCCAAGATAGTGCTTTTTGCTGATGATACTTCTTTAATATTTAAAGTGGATAGAAAGGCTGTAAATATTGACGAAGTAAACGGCGCACTAGATCAGGTTAATAAATGGTTTACGTCAAACAATTTAGTACTGAATTCTAAAAAAACTAAATGTATTAAATTCTCTTTGCCTAATGTAAAAAGTATTAAACACGATGTTGTTCTTAAGAATGAAAAGCTTGATTATGTTACTGAAACAGTTTTCTTGGGGATTACACTCGACGCAACAGTTCAATGGGATCCACATATACTAGCACTGGCTAGTAAACTTAGCTCTGCGGCTTACGCTGTTCGAAAATTCGACAATTGACCGATGTTGCTACGGCCAGGCTTGTATATTTTAGTTACTTTCACAGCATAATGTCCTACGGACTTTGTTATGGTCAAGCCGCTAACATAGAAACTATCTTTGTGTTACAGAAAAGGGCAATAAGAGCAATATATAAACTGCGAAGTCATGAATCCTAAGAGAATTGTTTAAAGAAATTGGCATTCTTACGCTTCCTCGCAGTACATATTTGATAATATAATGTATGTGCGCAAGAATTCCAGTTCATATTTAAGAAACTCAGATATTCATTGTCGTAATACGAGAAATAAAAATAAAATTGTACCGCCACAAACCAGATTAAGTAAGATCAGTAAATCATATATGGGTAACTGTATACGCTACTATAATAAAATTCAGAGGAAATTCTAAAGTTAAATGAGAGGCAATTTAAACTTAAAATAAAGAATACTTTATGTCGAAAGCGTATTATAAGACAGAACATTATTTGAAAGATAAAGATGTCTGGTCAGTAGCAACAGTTGCTCCAACGCAATGCAAGAGATAGGCATTATTTAAGAATAAACATGACATATATTTTAGTGGATATACCTTTACTTTTATGATATGTAAATTGACATGTATAGTGGTTAAAGACATTTTCATATTATTCTTTAATTTTATTATTTTTTTGACATGTATTTTTACATTTACTGTAAATCTACTATTTTATCTTTTTGCTATGTTATTTAATTGCTCAAATGTTTAAAGTATATTTTAAAGACAAAACAGTTAGAATAATCTACTGTAATTTTTATTTTTATTTTTGAGCTGTTTTTGGCTATTCTATTAATTTATTTTCTAAGTTAGCTAGGTAGCTTAGGGCCTATGAATATTGTAGATTTTAGAATAGGTGCACTTCTGGGCAGGTTTTGGGCGGTTTCCTGTCCAGGGTCCGGCTAACCATACAAATGTAACTCCTTTTTTTAAATTTTGACAGAATGTTACTCCATTTAATTGTCATTCATTGAGGCATAAAGTTGCATGCTGTGTGGTTAGCCTGGCCAGCCCGAGGCAGTGCCTTTATTTTTATTTTTATCCTGCCTGAGCCGCGTTTAGAGTAGGAACTCAATTGTTATAAAAAGAGAAAATTTTGCATTAGAAATTTTCTCTTTTTTAAGATTGTATTAGAATATGACTTTCTTTAAGAGAATCTTGTACATTCCTACAAAGAAATAAATAATTGAATTTTGAATTTTTTGAATTTTATGGCTCGCTTACAGTAGCTCCTCTCGAGATTTCTCAAGGAGAACTTACGCTAAAATTCCTCTGAAAAACATTCTCGAAAATATTTTCCTTCACCGTGCAAAATCCCTCCGCTTATTTTTTAGTTTATAGCAAGCGAGCTAATTAATAAGATTTGAAGAAATATTTGTGCTATGCCATAATAAATTAAAAGGTCACAACAAAAATTTTGTGTACCTCCCGGGACGAGCAAGTGTATTCAAACAATTTGCACGGAACGAAAATAAATGTCGACGTAGTAGTTTTCGAACTTTCTACTAAAGCTTATTTGTTTAAGTTTCCAGTTTTAAAAATAAACAACTAACTTGTTTGATGAAAACGTGTTTTTGAAATTGTTTGTCTAGTTGCACACACACGAGGTGGTGGAGGTGTGCGCAAAGATCCTGTACCAAGTGGAGCTGCAGCGCTCGACCCTGGACCAGATGTGGGGCTTCAGCGTGGAGGCCGAGCTCATAGAGAACGCTGAGCGCCAGGACGAGCTTTGCTGCTACGTCAGCCGCGTCGAAGATAAAAGCGTCGCCATGCAAAACGGTAAATATTTTAATACGTAATAATGTTGCATGAAATCCAGTGCTCTCTACGTATTCACTAAAGGAATGACGTCATCAAGATTTTGGGTTACTGGGATTAACTGTAGTGACGTAAGCGCGAAATATGTCAAGAGGGCAACGTTTGAATTGCATGAAAACGTAATGTGCGAGTTCCGCGTTCTCTAAGCTCGTACTGACGTGACGATATTATTGTTTGCTCATTCCTGCTGCTACGGTACTTATCAACCAGAAGCTTTTGTTTCGTATTCCCCTTTTAATCCGCATCTGCTTTTTTTCCATTAAGCTCCCTTGAAAAAGGTAAAACACAAACATTGAAACACCAATTGTTTTCTGTGCCAGGCATAATCAAAGGCGACGAGATAATGGTGATCAACGGAGCCATCGTATCTGACCTAGATATGATGTTCTTGGAGAGCGTACTGCAGGAGGAGCTGTCCCTAGTCATGATGATGAGGTATTTATACTTTCAGCTTTTCGATTTTCATGTGAATGCAAATCCGCCGATCGTCACCCGTGCTAACAGCTGTTCATTAATTAAGCGACCCTCGCGCGTCGAATTCGTTTACATCGAATTAGAATATTCACTGCAGCAGAAGCGAGAATTTGAATTTTTCGTTGATGTTTTTTAAAGTGGCGTAAGGTAGAGGCGAAACAGGAAGTCGGGCGCCAGTGTAGCTCTTAATAAAACGGAAGTTGGAGTGCGGCGCTGTGTCGAGCCCGAGCAGAGCGGAGGTCTGTTCATCGGCGTTTCCCGCCCTCATACACCTGACCTTTCGCGGCCGCGACGAGTTTACTGAAGCGCTCGCTGCGACCTACATACTCCCTCGGCTGAGCCCTAGCTCGCGCGACGACTCACCGACCCACCGGCTCAGCCCTGCGCCCTGCGCCCTGCCCGCTTTCAGTCGCCTATTGTGAGCTCCGCAATTGAGCCTCTCGACATCGCCGCGTGAATTAATGTTCTCCAACAAATGTCACCTCGAGACCGCAAGCTACATGATATCATTGTTGTGAGTTTTATCGCGCCGTTCACATGATAAAGCCGTTCCGGCCCCGACTGCCGCCTTTATTCTCCTGTTGCTCGGATTGTGCAATTAGTCATAAACTTTACGCAGATAAATTGGGGGGTTTAGATGGTAATATTTCAAACGTTTACTTTCTCCGTAACCAGTGAAAGGGAATGTACCTACGTAAAATTTATATTTAAATTCTGTAATTTATTAACCGCTTTAAC